TTGATCAAACACAACTGAAATATGCGGTTTCACCCGCTGCACCACACAGTGGGTTTTATGGTACTTTCAGGGGAGTTAAGCTTTATTGCCACTAAAAGACCCCTCCCAAAGCAACGAGAGCTTTTAAACCTGGGGATGGGCATTACTCCAGGAGTGCCAAGGGCCACAGGGAGAGAACTCGGTTTACGTGGTTCCCTGCGGCATCTCCAAGGCCAAGTTTGCTGAATCAACGGATGAAGTGACATGTCACAAGCCCTCAGAGCTGGGTCACCCTGCAGTGGGTCGTCACTGCTCACCCAACTTCCAATAAGAACAGACCAGGACTCTGCGGAGGGCAGAGCAACCCAGCAGACACCCCGCTCCAGGCCTGGGTGCCCACGGCTCGCAGGGCCACCTGCACCCCCACTCAGCGGCTTTGACCGGGAAGATTCTGGAGGAGCCCTCAACTCTTCTACAATCCCAGTGCGATAACAAGAGCACAGCCCTGAGCTCAAAGAAGGTGATGAAGCCACATTGTCGTGAGGTTCCCGGGAGCCACAGAAACCCAGCTGCCCGGTCCGACCCCCCACCTGCTTCCTCACTCCCCAGACAGGCGCTCCTGCGAAGGCTGGGGTGACACTCCTGCGAAGGCTGGGGTGACGTCACTGCTCCACTCCGAACCCTGCACAGACTTCCAACTGCACTCAAAGTCAAAGCCAAAGCCAGTCCTGGTCTGCAGGACCCACAGCTCTGACCATCAGCCACCGGTTCTGCCCTTCCTGCCTCCCCCTCACCCCTTACCCCTGCTCCAGCCATGCTGGCTGCTTTGAGGTCCCCAATACCCGGCACCCGCCCTTCTCTGAGGCTTTGCTCCTTCCTCTGCCCGGAATGCCCCTTTCCTGGGACCTTTCCTCAAAGTCCCTGGCTCAGTGTGACCTTCTGGGCCTCCATTCTAGCCCATCTCTGACCCCCTTCCCGCATTTGCCTTCTCCTTGGCGTTGACCGCAAATGAATGTACTATTTATCTGGTTTATTACATCTGTGTCTCTTATCCCCGCAAGGCTCAAAACTGTGTAGTATTTGATGGTGGTGCTAACGCCTTCCTGGTTGTCCTGGGTAGAAGGGACCCCTCCTCATAAACATAGCTGAGGTCATTCTCCCAAAGTGGTGACTTCAAACAAATAAGATGGAAACGGAGCAGAGAGAGTAACCGTAAAGATAAATATGAGCGGGCTCGTATCTGAATCGTCAGAAGGGCCCTGTGCAGCCAGTGACAAATGCACTTAGTCTACGGGGGAAAAAAAAATAGAAGAACTTGAAGTCCAAACAGGAATCACAGAGAGCCGGGCGTAGTACACACACCTGTAATCCCAGCGACTCGAGAGGCTGAGGCAGGAGGATCTTGAGGTCAAAGCCAGCCCCAGCAACTTAGTGAGGCTCTGTCTAAAAGATAAAAAGAGCTGGGATGTGGCTCAGTGGTTAACTGTCCCTGGGTTCAATACCTGGTACAAAAAAAAAAAGAACAGGAAAAGAAAGAAAACAACCAGGAAACTCGAATATGCCGGCCAAGGAGTCAGGGCCCCCTCAATTTCATGGACACTCCAGGATGAAAACATTCTACAAGAATTGAAATAAATCACTGGCAGGCAGACAGCTACCTGGTGGCTGCTGAGAGGGCTTGGAAGTGGCTGTGGGTGTCCCACGGAGTGGGGGCACCGAGTCTTTTCCAGCCCAGAGCTGCTTCTTTTTCACTTAGTGGGATCTGATGACGGCAGGAAAGGCTGAGATAACCTGCCAGGAGGACAAACATCCTTCCCCAAGTCCCCTATTGTCAGTAAGCCGCCCGCCCGGTTTGTGGTAATTTGTTAGAGAGGCCACAGGAAGCCTGCACATGCGTGTGCGAGAACACACACACACACACACACACACAGTCTTGGGCTTCTGTTGTAAGCCCTGTCTCCCCGCTTTGCTCATCTCTGCTGCACCCCCAGAGGCCCAGGGCTGGGCCAGACCCTGTGGACAGGCTTGGGAGTGGAGTCTCTTGGGGACTGTCAAGGGCATGACGGGCCTGGGCAGCCTCCAGGGCGAGGAGTGGGAAGGACAGGGGGGCTTGCAGAATGGGGGAGCATTCCAAAGCTACCTGAAGGACGAGTTCCGAGCCAGGAACAGGGCTGCAGGCCACACACTGCGAATGCAGATATGAGGGTTTTCACCCACCTCCCAAACACGCCCTGGAGTCCCCAACCTGGCACTGGGCCCACACAGAGTGCCCCTCAGCCACAGGCCCAGGGCTCTCATCAGCCACCTGCCTGACACTGGACCAAAGGCTGGAAAAGCCACAGTAGCCACAGACAGTCCACAGCCCCTTCCATTCCTCCTCCCAGGAGTGCCTGCTAAAATCATGTCAAGTCAAAGACCCTGGGGACTGGTCAGGGACAGTGGGTGGGTCTGAGCTTTGTGAAAGCTTTGGTGAATTCCAGGAGGCCACAGAAAATTAAAAAGAAATGTAGCAGGAAGGACCTAGCAAGCGCCTTCTCCTTGGAGACCCTAATGGCCCAGTCTCCAACCTCTGGATAATCCTCTTGTGGGTGAGGATTGCTGTTTTCCGCTTAGGAACTTTCGAACTCTGAAACGTCTGTGTTCCTTTAAGAAAATCCTCTTTTGGATCAGCTTTGTAGCCTGGGACTCTCTACCACTCACAAATGTCGCCAGATCGCTTCACTCAAGGCCGTTATGGAAACTGGGTTGGCACCCCCCTCTTCCTGGACAGGTCAGCTGTTTGGAGGGACACTGATATGTCCCCTTTGGGGACCTCTCCCCTCCAGATTCACTCCCACCAGAACCCAGGCAGGGAGGGCTCTCAGGGGAAGCCACCTGCCCAACAGCAACGCAGGCCAAAGTGCCAGCCCTGCCCAGTGCTCCTGGGCGACCCTCAAGCTCACTATTCACACCTGTCCCCAGCCCACTCAGCTGTTTCTCTTGTAAATTCCCAACTCCCACAACACTTGGTCCTTTGTCCCCAAGGCCATCAAACCTCGAAACACTCCTGGCCCTGGGGATTGTCCCAAAGTCCACTCACTGGCCCCAGATGCACTCTGGCAAGAAGCCGGAATTCCAAATTGCCCACCATGACAGCAAGCGGAAGGCTCATTAGAAAGCAGCCCCAGTAATGGGTCAGATCATTATGAGCTGCAGGGAGCCCTCGTGATCATCCTGCCAGGTCCATGACTGACCCTAGTATGAATGGCACTGGGAAGTTGCAGGGCCCTGTGGGTCCGGTTTGGGTGAGCCTGCTACCAATTTAAGACACATTTGCAATTGGCCCCAGGCTTATTTCCTGGAAGAGGGTGTCCCTTTCCAAGGCAGGTGGGGCCGAGGCTTCCAGTGCAGGAACTGGCGGGCCCCACCTGCACGTTATACCCCCTCCCATGCCATGGCCTTCCTTCATGTAGGATTGTTTATAGTCAGTCAAGTTTTTTCAGGTCGACCAAGAACTCCCCAAGCCTACTGCAGTCAGTTACAAGCCTCAGGACTTGGGCCAGCTGGAAGATTCAGAAGCCTCTGTGGGTTGCAGACAGCTAAGGAATGACAATCACATACAATTGTCCCAAACAATCCCCTCCCCAGTCTGCCCTCCCATGGATCCCCCTTCGGCCAAGGGCTCAGGCAGGAGCCCTGCCCTGGGGCATCCAGGGAAGGAAGTGAAACTGCTGAGAGCAACCCTTCCTTCCTCTTACTCGCACGTCCAAGGGTTAAAAACACTTCCGAACTCTCCTTCCAACGGCAAGGTCAAGCAGCTGTCCAAGCCACCCAAGGAGAAGAGGGAGTCGTGGACAGCTGGCCCCCCACTAGCTTGGTGGTGACAGGCCCTGCCAGCCTGGCTAAGGAAGAGTTAATCGGCAATCAGCTTTGGCTGATAGTTCAGACTCCGAAGTTCAGTCCCAGTCCGAGCCACCCCGGAGGGATTGTAAATCTCAGGGCAGTATTTAACAAAACAAAAGCAACCTGGAATTACATGCAGGTTTGGTTTTCTACAGTACATATTTACTTAATCCCCAAGGTATGTGGCTCCGTGTCAGATCAGCTGGCTTTGCTGGCCCTCTCGCCCCCTGGTTCACAACAGTTTAAGTTTCAAACTAATTCCCTGTTTTCGCTCTTCCTCTTCACAGGGCTGGCTGGAGACGGCCTGGCCTGCCGGCCTCAAATCCCTCTCTCGATTGCTCTTGTCACTGGGTGAGTCAGCCCAGCTGAGTTGGGACTGGGGTGACAGCGGCTCACCCTCCCCACTTCTGCAGCACCAGGTCTCCAAAAACGGAAACAGGAGGTGCTGGGACCCCCAAAATATTAAAGGCAGTGCCCAGCGAGCAGGACCCTCCCCTCGGTGCCACCTCCCCAAGGCTGTGTTGGGGGAGGGGACAGGGTCGAAGGTGAGAACAAGGGCTCTTTATCAGCTGCTGGTTACCCCCTCCTCCTCTGTCCTAATTTCCACCTGGGCCTTCTAGTGCCTGTGCTGCCAAGACCCTCTCCTTCCTTTTCAAGCCCAAACCAAATACCCCCTCTCCAGTGTCATTAGAGCTGCAGTCCAGTCCGCCAGGTTGGGGCTGGGAAGGGGGTTGCCAAGGAAAACACCGAGCCAACTAGCAGGCGGCTCCCCGCTCTACCAGGGAGCGCGCACACCCTGAACTCAGCGGGTGGTGGCACTAGGGGGGAAGGCAAAGGGGGGTCACAACACGTGGAGAATGGGTGGGTCTCCTAAGTTTCGGGATGGGGGCAAACAGCCAGCCACCGATCCCCCAGGAGCCGAAGAGCTCGGGACCTGCCAAAATAGACAGTCTGGTGCCGGGAAATCCACAAGGTGAAACCGAGGAGCTCAGCGCTTGCGTGTGGCGCAGGGGAGTGGGGTGGCCAGAGACACTCAGCTCCCGGGCGAGGGATCGGGCGGCCGCAGCAGGTGGGGGCACCCCGCGCCAAGGGCCGCTGGCCCTCAGCGCCCACTCCCGGGAGTCGCGGTGCCCACGTACCTTTCTGACGCCGCGCTCTGCAAACTCGCGAGCCAGCTGGCGCCCAATGCCTCTCCCGCCGCCGGTGATGAGGACGTTCTCCCGCGACAGGTCCCGCAGCTTGGCGGGCAGCACCAGTCCGACGGCTGCTTTCGCCACTAGATAGATCATCTGCAGAGGGAACACCACCAAGGCGCCCAGCCATTTCCACACCATCCTCCGCGCCGCGGAGCCGGGCAGGGGGCGAAACTCCCCGGACTGAACAAAACAGGAATTAAAAAAGAAAACACCCCAAAACAATAATAAATAAACCGAATACAAAAGAGAGGCGTCCCACCTGGTCACTCTTGAAATGACCTTTCCACAAATGCAAAGCACCGGCTGAGAAAAGTTGGTGGTGGGGGGGACTTAAAAAAAAAAAAAAAGGATGAATCCTCGGGAGGAGAAAAAGCGTCTTATAAGGTTGGGACCGTGGAGGGGTGGAGGGGAAGCCGGAGGTGGGAAGTTCTAACAAGAAGTTTCTTGCCCTAGCAGCCGTGCCGGCTGGGGAATTCTCAGGTAATGTTTACAGACTGACAGAGGAGTTTAGGCAGGGAAAGAAAAAAAAAAAAAAAAAAGGCACCAACCACCCGCGCGCACCCTGCCACAGTCCCGCGGTTTCAAAGTGCAAGATTAAAAAAAAAAAAAAGCCGTTTCCAAATTGTAGCGCGCCCCCTTCTCCAGGAAAAAAAAAAGTGGGGGAAAAGTGCTTGGAGCTCCCAATTTCAGCCTGCGAAAGTCTCCCGACTCATTGCTATTCTTGGGCTCAGGAAATTGCTTAAACGCGATCTGATTGCCAGCAACGTGCAGGAGAAGTGGGGGGTCCGGGTGTCAGTTTCTTTACGTGCAGGGCTCGCCCTCGCGCGCGCTCGCTCGCTCTCTCCGGCTCCCTCCCTCTCTTCCAGCAGAGGCTGGGAGTTGCCGCTCAATCCGGTTCCCTCTCTCTTCCTTTTAGATTTATTGCCTTCTTTTTGTCCTTTCCAACTTGGAGAGGGCCCGGGCGTGGAGCGCGCGTGGATCGGATGAGTGGATCGTCTGCGCGGCGTTATTCATTCGCTCCTGGGGCAGCTGCGGCGCGGAGCAAGAGGGCGGCCCTCCCCACCCCCCATTTTTTTTTAATACCCCATTAAGTCTGATTGACAGTTAAAGTTGTTCCGAGGCTTCACTACCGTTCCTCTGAGTGGCTGCAGCGACCTCCCCTCCCCCTGCGCCGTCGCGGGGCGCGCGCCTGGGCGCGCACACGGGCTCGCAGCGACTCGCTCACTCCTGGGACCGGCTCCTGTCTCTGCAAGCCGGGACTTGCCGCCGGTGTCCCTGAGGGCTCGCAGCTGGAACTCAAACACGCTGGAACCGACTCCAGCGAGCCGGCTCCTCCCAGAGACATTCTTCTTGGCCCGGGCCAGGTGACCACCCCAGCGTGCGGGGCAGGCTCCGGGGAGCTCGCGCATGCCTCGATCCAACCAGGTCGCCTAGAGTTTATTTTAGGTCACTTGGTCATCCCCTGCCTCCAGGTACAACCAGGAAGCCACGCCCCATCTTTGCCCAGACGCCCTCTATCTTTACAGAGTGTGCTTTCTAAGTCTGATCCAAGTCTCACAAGTTGCTTGAGCTGGTGGGGGGACCCACTGGGAAGCAGGGTTTTGTTTTGGGGGGTGGGGGTGGGCAGAGTAAAGGAACCTCCGCCCCAGGTGCCAATAAAATCCCCATAAGATTAGCTGGGAGCATATTTATTGCTCATCGGGGCTAGAATTACCTTGATTGACAGCAATTTCCTTAATAACAAAAGACTGTAAACAAAACATCTTAAACCCGAATTTTGGGCTGCTCAAGGAGCAGCTCCTCTCTTTGGGTCGTCTTTGGGGTGTCTGGCACCCACCTTGCCATCTTCTGCCTTTCCCAGCAAGAAGGTCTCCTTGCTGGAGGGTGGGACTGAGCTATTTAGAGTTGTCTGTTGGAGGAAGTCTGGGAGGTGAGTCACCCGAAAAAGCAGCCCCAGTTAAAAGTGCTGATGGGACTTGCCTCCCGCCCCCTCTCGACGTCCCTGGGCTGAGGAGGGAGAGTGAGCCAGGGAGCTGCCCTGTAATCTGGGGCAGCCTTTTCCAGTCTGAGACTTGTTCAGACTGGGAGGCCTGGGCCTCAACTCCAGAGGCTCTGATTCAGCAGGTCTGGGTGCACGGGAGAAGGTTCTTTGGATGGATGCTCTGTGTGGGTGAGAAAGTCACTTTGAGAAATGCTGATTTGGGGAGGAGAGGACTGGGGACCACCTTCTCACCAGCAAAGGCACTGTGGTTCTGGGGAGAAGTTTGGCAGGTGAAGATCTTCCTTCCTTTGGGGTGAATGGGAACTGCTGGAAGAGCAAAAGGGAGCGGAAGGTCAGAACTCAACGCCTTACACCGAGGGCCTGTGTCCTCACATGTAATCCTCCCATTGACCTTGCAGCAGTGGCACCCACAGCCCATTTTCCAGGTTACCCAGCCAGGAAGCGCAGCAGGGAGGGATCCAAATCCAGACTTCATTCCTCTCCCCACCCCACCCCACTCTGGCAAGAGGGAAGGGGGAGGTGGAGGACCAGGCTCCCAGGCTCCAAGGGCTGCTTCCACCCCACCCTCCAAGAGGATGGCCCAGGGCAGCCCACTGTCTTCCTCGACTCCCAGCACCCCACTAAAGGTGGGAATGCAGTCTGGGGACTCCTTTTTTCCATCTTTGAAGTTATAAAACTGGGACAGAAATTCCAGCCTGGCAGAGACAAACCCACCAGGCCTCTGAAGAGGACTCAAAGCTGGGTACCCCCCAGACTGTGCCTGACTCTGTGCTCATCTGTTATCCTTGGAGCCGCCTAGTGGCCAGTGTCAGACACTACACATCCAAGCTGCCCAAGCTTTCAGCTGACTGCAGTCCTTCTTCGGTCCAACTGTGCTTTTATTCCCTCCACGTAAAGTTAACACCTTGAGTCTAAAAGGACTTGCAAAGATCTTAGTCCCCTTCACCTTTTCATGGCAGAAAACACCAAAGCACGGAGGTATCATCCAGCAACAAGCATGGTTACCCCAAGCAGTTACCTTGTGCTGTCTGATGCTGGACCATCGGGGTGACCACTAGGTCCCACTTATATCTCTTGGGCGTGTGATTGGGATGGAGGGTGGCCATGGGGGGAAGGAGAACCCAAATGGACTTGCACATGGGCCCTGCACACATTTTCTCATTTAATTCCCCTAGCAGCCTGGGGAGAATGGCAGACCCACAGCCAGAGGTAGGTGGTGGCTCTGTTTCTGCTAGGGTCACCTTCAGGATGTGGAGTGTGGTTTGGCATTCCTGTGAGCCTCAGACTCCCCCAGCATCAGCTGCCAAGGAGGAGCATTGGGGCTAGAATTACCTTGACGGACAGCCATTTCCTTAATAAGAACAACTGTAAACACCCCACAAATCCCAGGGAAGACGGGGCACAGGGGCACCAGGCTGGAGGTGTGCAGGGTCAGCAGGCCAGGCCTAAAGGTCCTTGTGGTTTCAGTGAGAACTGCACGGGACACATCCTTCCCAACCAGTCCCCTCATCCTCCACCCGTGTTTACCCCTCCTCTCTCAGTTTCCTCGGGGGCGGGGGCGGGAGGTACAGAATCTCACTCCAGGGTGAAGTTTGGAATTTCACGTCCAGGCCTGGGAGGAGTGCCCCACACTGTCTGCGCTCCCCTCCAGACAATGTGAAAGGGGCCTTTGTGGGCTTGGTGGGAGAGGTGAGCTGCAGCCTGGAGTGCTAACTTTTTCCATGACTCAGTCCTGCCAGCCAGGGAGGTGTGAGGCCAGACAGGGAGGCTGGAGCTGTGGCTGAGCTGCCTCCCGACCTTGGTGAGTGGAGGGAGCCCTGAGAGGCGCCGAGCCTTAGAGTTAGAGGTAGACTGCCCAGGAAGCCGGCCCTGCCTGGGCCACTGGGTGGTAGCTGTTCCCCGACCACTGGAGCCGGTTCCATCTTTTTTGGACCATTCTACCCCAGTTCCAAGCATACACAGGCTGCGTGTTCTTCATTTACAAGGCATATTCTTTACCACCACTGCGGCTGAAAGTTGGGCCCCAAATGCCAACAATTTAAAAAAGTGGGTCTCGAGCCTTGTCTTACTGAGAGAGACTGAGAGAACTTAAGAAGTCACTCATCTGTTGGGCACGAGGTGCATCCCTGGAATCCCACCAGCTCGGGAGGCTGAGGCAGGAGGATCGTAAGTTCAAACCAGCCTCAGCAAGACCAACAGCTGCTAAGAGGTGGAGGTGCTCCATTTACTTTCAAAGCATATAAGCCTCAGACCAGCAGCAGGAGAGGATCACCCAGGGATTCCCGGGCTCCCTCCCAGCCTTCCAGAACCAGCATCTTCAGGTGGGGCATCTTCACGGAGACTGGGTAGGTGGTTGCTGGTTGCTGGGTGGAGGGGAAGATGACCACCACTGCTGCCTCTCTGTGTCCCCATGTCACATGCGGTGCCTGCATGAAGCTTCCCTGCCTCTTCTGCTGCCACTTGGGCTCCTCCTTCCTTGGCCTGTGGCTCTCACTAGCTCCACGGATGCCAGCGAGGAAGGATGGTGGACCGGCTTGGAGGGGCAGGGGCGTGGTCAGTCAGCTGCCCTGCAGAGCTGGGGCTGGCACATCCTCATTTCAGGGTTACCCCCACCTGACCTTCCTCCTGGGGGGACAGGGCCATGAATCCTGCTCCCCAAAGCCCCCGAGAGGCCCCTCCCTGCCGAGGCTGGCCCAGGCACCCTCTGGCCATCCTGCTGCCCCCCGACAGCTGGGATGTCATCAGAGTCTCACCTAGGGTTGGAGCTTCTAGAGGGTTCTGGAGGGTGGGCCAGGCTGGCTTTGTGGACCTGTGACCATCCGTCATCCTGGGCCCCTGCTCTGGCCCCGTGCTCTGGCTGACACCCTCTGCCCCCCTCCAGGGATTGTGCTTCACCTTGTGTGGGGCACTGAGGCCAGGTCAGCTTTCCCCAGGGCAGAAACGGAGTCACTGAAGCCAGACATCAGGAGCAGGGACATGAAATGTCCCCCGAGGTGTGTCTTCAGTCACCCACACTCTTGCCAGGCTCTGATCTAGGTGCCGACAGACAGCGGTGAGCCGAACAGCAGAGCCCTTGCCCCCGGGGCTGGCTTCCTCCCTTTCCACACGGGGAGCCCTACTTGACCACAGGAAGGGGGGACAGAGCAGTGGGGTGGCCCCCAGGACCCACTTCCTTCAACGGCCCCCCTCCTAGAGTTTCCCTCCTCCCAGCAGTCCAGCAGTTCACTCAGCCCGGAAGCCATCGTGGGCCAGCCAGGGGTGAGGGTGGGGCCCTCGAGAGCCCATCACGTCCCAAAGCCCGACCTCGGGACACGGTCGCACTGGAGAACAAGCCTTCAGTAAGGAGCTTTGGGGTCCCAAGTGCAGCAGGGTGGGCGGGGCCAGTAGTGGGGTTTGAAGACAGAGTTATTGGGTGCCGGGGAGAGTCACAGGGGCGAGGGGACAGCAATGGGTGGGTAGGTGAGTGATGGGCGCAGGGTGGCTGGGAAGCCCCTCTGAGATAATTTTTGGGCAGAAAGCAGAGGGCCGGGCCCCCCCCCCCCCCCAGGACCTCTGGTGGACAGAGTCCTCCTGAAGGGACAGGGAGCCCCAGGCAGGGCATGCTGGGGGGCTGGGACAGCAAGCAGAACTGGGAGGTGGGTGCTAAAGGGGTGGAGTGGGGCAGGGCAGGGGGTGGGTGGGTGGGGTTGGCACTGGGGTGGGGGCTGCGTGGTCACAGTATGGACCCTGGGCCAGGGTGGTCTGCATCACTTGGACACATGTGAGAAGTGCAGACTCCCAGGCCCCGCTCAGACCTCCCGAATCCACCTGACCCTGCATCTCATCCAACAAGAGCCCTGGGAGCCCCTGTGCCCACTGGGGTGTGAGGGGCACAGCAATGGGGGACTGCGTTTCCTCTGCAGTGCGCCTGGGGCCTTGGGAGGGGCGGTCCAGCACACAGGTGGACCATGGCATCTGTGTTTGAGAAGCCTGCCTGGCCACCAGGTTGGGACACAGTGGGAGCTCAGGGTGGACGCAGCAACAGTGGTAAGGATGCTCTGTGGGGGCTCAGGCTGGGGATGGCCCCGGGTTGCCAGGGTGATGATGGGGGTACAGTTCA